TGATGTTCAAGATTTCCAAAAGAATTCTGAGAAAAAAGCCAGTGAAGAGAAAAATAAACCAACAAGATTAGATGACCATTCAAACTTAATGGCTGCAATTCGAAATGCAGGTGGCATAGGAAGAGCAAAATTGAGGCGTACAGTGTCACCAGAAGAAAACGGAAATCGTTGGTCTTCCGCGTCTGTTGGAGGAGATTTAATGGCTGATCTACATGCAAAATTAGCCCTCAGAAGGAAAGGAATTGCTGGAACAGGAAGTAGCGTGTTAGAGAGAATGTCAAGCCTAATTCCTCCTCCTCCAAAACCGAATGAAGCAACTACGTCGGATAGAAACTCCGCTACTAGCGAATATGATTCTCAGCCAGATACAGATGATTGGGATGAGTAATATTCAATATTATTGACTATATACATTCTAGCTTTATTCATATATGTAATATAGAATATCCATATTCATTCTTTATATACAAATGAACTGTTTGGAATATTTAATGTAATAGTTTAACGTTGACGCAAGAGAAATAAATTTGTAAATATAACGGTATATTTAGATATATATACAACACTGTGCAATAAGAAAAAATATTTTATAAAATATTTATGCTACTTATATTCCTTTTACAGATGCATACTGTGTTTGTTGATTAGTTTCATTATACTTTCTAAGGTAAATAAATTATTTAAAAAATGTTAAACATTCTACTGTAGTCTTCATCGTAACAATCAATTTAAAAATAAATTATAAATTAATCATGAAACTTAATTATCAATATTATCATCAACTTGCGACAATGTAATTGTGATAGGAACACGTCGATGTAATTATCAGTTTGGATTTAACACTTGACCCCAGATTACTGGACCAAGTGTCCATGCATGCTTGTTATTCTTAGTTGAATCGTGAAATTCGTAGTTTTTGCTCGATACTTTTTAATTTCGCTGTACTTCTTAACAAATTCATAATCGAAAATTTATTATCATCATCAGACATCGTAGTAAGCAGTAACATCTGTGTTCTGATACGAATAACTTTTTATTCTGTTGAACTTGCGGCCTTTTCAACAGTGGAACATTACAATAAACCTATTACAACGCCGGTCGTGTAGTTTATCTAAATTCAGTTCCCTAAAATCATTAATATGTACATTTGGGAATGTTTACTTTTCGCGAATCTATGTAAATATTATGTATTTAACTAGAAAATCAATCACAAATAGAATTAATAAAGAAGAACAAGATGGAAGGTAATTTTTGTTATATTCTGACTATGATCAAAGTACAAATTAATAAAGCGTTATTTTGAGATAGTACATTTGACCGTTTTACAAATTTTAATACAATTTACATGAATTGAATTGTTTTTGCAGAGAAAGTGGACAGAACAACTTCAAATACAAATTAATATAGATAATTGTCACATGAATTAGCTTCTTTTGACTGTAAAATACGTTATGGGTAGCATAATAAAAGTTTCTTCTATATCAGAATTACCCAATTTGAGAACCAATACCTCAAGCAATGTGGAGTTTCCAATTGATATGCGTTTCAATGAGGGTCATGTTGTTAGTATCATTGTTTATAGTGTATTAATGATTATATCTGCTTTAGGAAATGTAAC